CTATCTAGTAGAAATAGATAAGTAATCTAGACTGTTTTAATAGACACATTAAAAATTAAAATAAGCAGGTAATATTATTTTAATTTTATCTCATTTAAGTAATGTATTCAAAATGTCACTTAAACATGGTACCACAGTGTAATTTCAAATTTGGAATGAGCTATTTTGCATTCTTTCTCATACTAAATCTTAGGAATCCAGTGCATATGTTTTACCTATAGCACACCTTAATTGGGACAAGCTGGCTTTCAAGCACTCTACAATCAAATGTAGCTAAAGGCTTTTGTATGGGACAGTACCCATCTGCATTGTTTCTATCACCATAAGAATTTCTATTAGAGAATGCTGAACTGCAAGGCTGAAAACTGTGGGAAGGGGAGTGACAGGTATGAACAAGGTGTGCCCCAAAAGTCCCTGTAAGTATGGAGTTGTTAAAGCTATTGATGACAGTAAAAATTGGAACCACCAAGATTGGTATGTTCTAAGATCCCAGCTCTATCCTTTTCAGAAAAGCTCTAGAACCATGAAGGATCTGAATGTTTATGTCCCCCTAGAAATTCATGTTAAAATCTTAATCCTCTCCCTACCAGGTGATTGGATTAAGGGGTGGGGGCTCTGATAGATGATTAGATCATGAGAGCAGAACCCTCACCAAAGGGATTAGTGCCTTTATAAAAGAGAGTCCAAAAGGCAGGAGATGTAGCTTAATGGTACAGCACTTGACTAGCAGGCACAAAGCCCTGATTCTGTCCTCAGCACCACAGAGAAGAAGGGGAGAGGAAGGGAAGGGAAGGAGGGAGAGAGGGAGGTAAGGAAGGATGGAATGAGAGAGGGAGTCAGAGAAACACTCAGAGAGTTCACTTGTACCTTTGGCCCGTGGTAGGGCACATTGAGAAGTCACTATCTATGAATCAGAAAGCAGGCCCTGACTAGATAGTGAATTTGCTAGCATATTGATCCTGATATACCATCTCTGGAACTGTGAGAAATAAAGTTCCATTGCTTATAGGCCACCTAGTTCAAGTTGTTTGGTTATACTAGCCCAAACACACTAAGAAAGATCATGCCTACGTTACAGGGGCTGCCCCACAGCTGTGAGGAAAACAGAAAGTACCCCACCATTCCTTTGGGCACCAGCTGGTTGAGCTGCCTCCATCTTCGCTACTTTGGTTCATTCAACACAGGGACTGGGATAGAAAATCACCAAAGTCACGTACTTCTTTTTATTACAATTGTGGGTTAGCAATCTAATTTGGTGAAGCAGATACAGAAACATGATCAAATTACATGCGCCTGTGTCTATGCCTGTGCATGCATGTGTGGTTTTGCATGGCAAGGGAGGAAGGGTCATGTATGAAATCTAGAAGTAATAACGTAGCTGCCAAAATGCCTTCCTCACCAGCTGCCATCAGAGGACAGATGAGCAGTAGACTCAAGAGGCTCATCAAAAACTATGAGTCACAAAGGAGAGGCCATGAGTGCAGAAAGAACGAGATGATGGGCACCCAGGCAGATGATCAGGTGGGAGGGAGAATTGGCAATCAGAGGCATTCTCCAAAGACAAAGAGCTCCTAACTCTACAGCAAGGATGTCACCCTGATCCCCAAATCAAGCTTAATTCAGAATCCAAACACAGGCTTTTGTGCATGGGAAAAGTGCAATTAGCTATCCTTTCCCCTCCTAGAGAGCCTCATTCTCTGAGGTCTCCTTATATTCTGATCAGAGAGGCAGCAGCCACAAACCTTTCATTTATGGATTCAAACCCCTGTTCTTTAGAGGTTCTGGAATTACCAGGGGACTAAAATCTGATTAAAAGGAAATTGAGGGCATTGAATGGCAAATCTACTTCTCATATTTATTTAGTGTTTGAGAGATAGTAAGGACTCAAAACTCCCTCACCTACCTTTTGTTTCCATCACGGACCTTGGGCTCTTCCTTTAATCTGTTTGAATCTCAGTTTCTTCATCTGCATGATGCAATTAATACTTCTGGTCTCATAGTCTCACACAGGTGTTATAACGATTAAACCTGGACTTGTCAGCATAGAACTACAAAATGCTCCAAACTGGACCATGACACCAAGAGTCCTCACCAAACATACAAGCCTCTGAATTTCTACCCAATCCGACTCCCTTGACAATGATTTATGACTCCCTCTCCACTGCTGTTCACGTCATCAGTTCCATCATTTGGTCACTCAACTCTCATTTATCTAGTAATAGTAGATGTTGACTGATTCTAACTGAAAGGGCACCATCTGAAGTAGTTAGGAACTGAATTGAATCTATCTACTTGGCACATGTGTGCAGCATAGGTGAATTGGCTGTCTCCACACACAGACACACAGACACACACAGACATACACACAGATACACACACACACAGAGTAATTAAGTACCATGTTTTATGAAGGAAGTATGGGTTGAGGACTCTGACCTTTGGGAAAAATAAATAAGAGACTTTGAACAGGGGCAGAAGAACATATTGTTCCTTTAAATCATAATCACCAAAATCTGGAATCAGATTCGGGACTCGCAATTTCTCTGAGCATTATCTGTTAAATAATGCTTCATTGAGGCCACAAGGTCACTGGAAAGGTTTGTCACATATTAAGTGCCTGGCAGACAGAGGACAAGAACAGATGTTAGCTCCCTTCCCAATTTATTTTTCCCCACTTCCCTTCTCTCCACTAATCTAAGATGATGGGAGGAGCCTGAGAACAGACACTTGCTATTTTCTTCCTGTGCCCCTCAGAACACTGTGGCTGTCTGCACATACAGAATAGCTCCATTCTGGGTCAAGGGATTTGGGAGACCAGTAGACTCCCAGTCCCCATGTCACTGGAGCTAGAGCTTTCTGGTCACTGGCACTGACGCGCTCCAGGCCACACCTTGTCAAACCCCTTCTAAGCCTGTGCTTTTCTTTCTTGCAGCTCAGATGACCCTGTCTGGGTGCCTCTGTTTTCTGGTTACAGAATTTTGCAATTGATTTTACACTTCTTGCCTAAGTGCCCACCAAAGAGATCTCAAGCTCGCAATGGGCATCACCTGGAAAAATACAAAATAAAAACGTTTTCTTATTTGTTTCAGGGATGAGCAAGTTTTCCTGGGGTAAACCTCATAGCAGGTGGTGTTGGATTCTTTGAATAATAAAGGAACCCCCTTGGGTGGCTGAATGATCCCCTGAGTTAGTGCCAAAACAGCAAGCCACTCCCAGCCCCACAAGTTCCTAGCTGACTTGGTTAGCTGTGCAGGGCAGCCTATGTCGTACACCTAGTGGGCACCTGTCAGGTTGAGAAGGGAATGCCAATTTGCAGAATATTGTGTGTCTGTGGGGGAGGGGATAGAGTTGCCTGGGTTGGGGAGTGGCTTCCACAGAGTACTAAGGAACAGAGAAACTGGAATGCCACCAGGCTTATGGCTTCTGATTTTGTGCCTTCCAGCCCATCCTGTCTTCTGCAAGCAGCACAGCTTTATTATACTGCCCTTCTGGTAGAAAAACATGAAGAGTAGGGAGTGGGTGTACTGTGCCACCTTGGAGAAAGGCTCTCTGCCCACTGGCCTCCCTACTGCCACCCTCTAATACCACTGTAACAAAGGCTCTGCCACAGCCCCGTTATCAAAGTTAGCTGAAGTATCTTGGTCTACCAACCAACGATTCTGATGACTCAAAGGAGGACAAGCATCTAGAAAACGGTGGGAAAGCGTCTCTGGGAAACGCTAAAAGATCCTTGTGTGATGTAGGCGGGGCAAAGAACTGTTTTCTCATTGCTGGCTGCTTTTCTTTCTCTGGGTTCTGAAGAAAAGCTTCCAAGAATCGGTTAAATACAGGGATCACATTAGAGGATGCGAGATAATGCTAAACCAACAAAAACAAAGACAAAATGAAACAGAGCGAGCCATGAGAATACGCGATTATCAAAACTTTGTTTGGCCGTATCTATTTATCATCGCTGCACACCCGGGCTCTGCGGAATATCATTCTGTTGATGTCACTTATCCTCAGCAAAATATTTACACATCCTTAAAAACGCCAGATGAAGGGGGCTGGCCCTCTCGCTGCCGCAAACCGCCTCTCAAGCCCCATTGCCAGGTCTGGGCAGCCCAGAAGGTGGGGGTATGAGGGTGGGTGGTACCACAAGGGCGCAGGTAAGAGCAACCAACAGTTGCAGGAATGCGGCCACCCAGATGTTGCTCCCTGCCCACCTCTCCTCTACCTGACTGGGCAAGAAGCAGCCACATCCCTGATATGGTGTCAGCGCCGCCTCCTCCTCCTCAACATATATAAGATTCTTTTCTCATGAGATATTCAGTGGCATGTTTCCTTCCCCATCCTCCCCTCTTCTTCCCCCTCCTCTGCCCCCCTCCTCCCCCTCCCCCCTCCTCCTCCTCCCCTTCCTTTCTCATTGATTAAGTTCCCAAACCATTGTTAAAGCCGGGTTGTCTGTCCTTGAAAAATGGGCTAAATTCATTAGGCTTCCCTCTGCCACAAAAGGAATATTCATAAAAGTTTGGCAGGCAGAAAGGCAGGCTGACTGCGTGCCATGGGGTGGGTGACAATCCACTCCTCCAAAGCCACCTTCTTCCTTCATGTCTCATCTCTCCATGCATCCATCCTGCCCCAAACCTACTCCAGGGACTTCTGATAGGGAAGCACAAAGCAGCAGCTGTTTGGCAACATTTCGACCCCTTGCCAGCAACTGTGGTGGGATGCCATTTCCCCACCCAGGCGGAGCTTATCCTGAACAATAGTCGGGCTTTAAATGGCAAACAAGCAAACACACGGAGCACAACCCCAACCCCGAAAAGAAGCCAAGGAGAAGGGAGGCAATAACTCCCTCCGCAGTAAAAGGAGCCACTGAAAAGCACGCAAGAAAAAAAAAAATCGCAGTGAGAACGCTGCTCGGTGCCTAACATGGCAGTAAGCCCCAGCTGGTGCGGCTACCCCGGGTCTGGGAATTGGGGGACACCCGGGCTCACAAGGCGCCGACCTGCACTCACCTGGCTCCAGCGGGATGCGGGGCTGGCTGAGCGGCACAAAGAAGAGCCCAGCACGTTCTGGCAAAACCCAACTTTCCACCCGGCTCCTCAGGGCCGCCAGATACGTCAACAGAATCCATCTTTCGAAGGGCCTGGAAGGCTCTGGGTTTTCTGAGCCGGGGCAGAACCGCAGATCCCCGAGACCAGCCCAGGGCAGTGCCCCGGCGTGGAGCGCGCCGTGCGCCACCTTCTGTGCCCGGTGCCAGCGCGGGTGGCGGACCGAGACCCACTTCGGGGGCCCCCACCCTACCGGCGGCGCCGCCTCCCCAACGTCCCGGGTC